GCTGTGTCCGGTCCCTACACAGAACCCGTTCGGGACCGGACCGAGGTCGGGTCAGCCGAGCTGTGCCGACCCGGGCCCGGGGCCTTGAGGAAGCCCGGAGGTGAAGACCTCTGGGTCGACTGGTGGATTGACCCTGAGGTCTGTGTCCCAACAGGAGGTGGACGTGCTGCACAGCGAGCTGGAGGTGGCCCAGCGACAGCTGGAGGGGAAGCAGGAAGCACTGAAGATCCTGCAGAGTCGGGTACGAGCCCCCAGTCTGCGTCCACTCTCGAAAACACATCCGTGCTCTCTACCGCACCAGTAGGCCGAAAAATGGGAGAAATTCCAAGATCTTTACGGGCATGACTGATGAGCTGGTGTTGCCAAAGCAGAAACCATTAACACCACATTTACAGACATTTACAGAACAAACACATTACTGAACATTCACAGACCAGACAAAACGTTATGTGAGGCAGGCTCTCTGTCTGTTCTTCAAGCTGTGACAGGGGATCACAAACTGGGCTGAAGCTCTGTTGAGGTCCCCCCCCTCTCTTCCAGTAGGATCCAAAGCTTTTCTGATTCTGGCAGGTGTGGAAATTCTGGGATTAGGTTTGTTATTTCAGGGAAGAATGTCTTTGTCTGATCCCGGAGTGTTTCTCACGGTAAAGCAGACAGTGCATCTCAGTCTCGGATTCTTCCTGCCGAAGGTGGGAGCACAGCTCCAAACCCAAAACTGTACTGGGTGTCTCATTTCTATCTTGACACATTTCTTTGTGTAATCGAACAAAGTTTGTTAAAGAAAACCACAAATGTATTCAATGACGTTGAGGTAGAAACATGGGGGGTTTGTTTTATTGTGCGTGATGCTGAATCAGTGAGAGGTTGCAAAAGTGGAACTAAGAGTTTTTGAATGTTTTTTAATATATATATATATTTGTTAATTTACTTCCCTACAGGCTGTGTTTGACAAAGCTACCACGCACACCAAGACGTTACTCCAGAAGAGCGAGGAGAGGAACAAGGTCTTGGAGAAGGTGTGTCTTGGAGCCACAGGCTCATATACCTTCGGCTACTCTCATTCAAAATGTGCAATATAATTCAGTGAAGGTCTTAGCAATGGCTTGTTTTTTCTCTCTGTCCTTTCATCTCCAAAGTCCTGCTTTTGTTTACACTGAGGATGAACTCCACAAAAGTCAGGAGCTGTGGTTATCACTTTGGACTTAAGGACTTTAAGGAGGTTGTGGGTTCAAATCCCAGGGGGGGCACAGCTGTTGCAACCTTAAGGACTTCATTCAGACTACTTCAGTTATGGCCAGTTTTGCAAATGTGTACTGAAGTAGGTGACATCCACTGTATATAGCCAAATACATTTGCAATAATATGAAAAGGATCATAAAGACACAATACCAGTGCATTTATATACTTTTTAAAGTTTCTAAACAGCACAAATAAAAATGGGGAGGCATGGTGGCACAATGGTTAGACCTACAGGCGTGCAATGCTGGAGCTCTGGGTTCAGTTCAGGGGGTGCTGTCTGCATGGAGTTTGTATATTTTCCCCATATTTTTGGATGCCCTCCAGGTGCTCCTGTTTCCTCCCACAGTCCAAAGCCCCAGTATGAGTGTGTGTGAGTGTTTGTGTCTGTGTGCCCTGCGATGGACTGGCATCCTGTCCAGAGTGTGTCTTAGCTTCGAGAATGGGCCCCAGATCCCCTGCAGTGCCTTACTGTATACAATTGGTTAGAAAATAAGTGGATGGAGTATTAAAGCTTTTCCAATTATCATCATTCTATGTGCTTTTATAATTTTCAGTTGCTTTCATGAACTAAAGGGGGAAATAAAGAAAGTATGAGTGAACAGAAATGGTTGCTCAGCTGCTCTGTGTTTGTTTAATAATAACTCCTTACACTTATATAGCACTTTTCTGGACACTCCACTCAAAGCACTTTACAGGTAAGGGGGACTCCCCTCCACCACCACCAGTGTGCAGCCCCCACCTGGATGATGTGATGACAGCCATAGTGCGCCAGAGCGCTCACCACACATCAGCTATCAGTGGGGAGGAGAGCAGGGTGATGAAGCCGATTCAGTTTAGTCGTAGTTCTGAAATGCACCCTGCTCAGCGGGCGGATGTGGCTCTTGTGTTGCAGGAGGTCAATGCCCTGCAGTGGGAGATCACCTTCAACCAGGTGCAGTTCCGAAACGTTGAGCAGTCCTGGAAGGACAAGTACGACAGGTGCGTTTTCTTACACAAGAAAATTAAAAAGGGAAAGGCATTGCACTGCTCCTTCCGGGCATGAGGAACAACAACAAATTGTACTGAATATATGTTTTTGTTGTTTCTCTTACTTTCTAACTCGTCTCTCTTACTCTTCACAGTCTTACTTGTCGACAGGCAAAAAATGTCTCCTTGCAATAAGCACTGAAGGCGTTACCGTACTCCTTTAAAAAGAGGCCACAGAATTTGCCCGATTTCGTTATTTTGTGTTCTGACAGGTGTTCAACAATTAGGATTGTAATCATTTGTCATAGGAATGTAGTAAATCCCTTGTTTTATTTGTTTGCAGTATACTTTGTGGTAGAATAGTTTCTATGGAATATTCTGCTGCCTTTTAGGAAACTTTTATTTGAAAAGTTATCTAAAAAGAAGAATGTCTTCATTTTCTGTGTTTTGGAGTGTCCGGAAGTTCCTAGAGTCTGTTGTTGGAGAGATTCGTTTTATAGGGCTTTGGAAAGTGCAGAATTTCCTCACGTAAATATATTCTGGGCTTGAGTGGGGGTGTCTTATGTTTTGTGCAGGGTGTGCAGTGACAACAAATCACTGGGAGACAGCTTGGAGGACAAGGCCAGTGAGCTCCGGCAGGTGAAATCAGAGAACGCCTGTGAGTCGCAAGGTCACAGTCTGCATTCATGCTCAACCTCAGCTACGATTTTTCAGATGCGTAATCTGTGTGCTCCACCCTGTTTGTACACGAGTACTGACAGAAGGAAAAGAAATTGACAAATCATTCTTTACTGAAGGGGGTGGGATAGACTGCAGTAGTGTTACTTGTATTGTGAACCTGCTTTTGTTGGGTTTGCTTCATTTTCTGAGTAAATGAGGGGAGGCGGTGATTGATCATTGTTTTTAACACCATCAGGGCGGGTTTGTGATTCAGAGGTTTGGTTTCCGTGAATTGCAGACTTGAGCCAGCAGTGCCTGGAGCTCCTTGCTATGCTCAACGTGAAAGAGCAGAAGATGTTCCAGGGGTCTCTCCCAGCGCGGAGCAGCATGGTCCGAGAGGGCACTGCCCTGGAGGTGAGAGAGCCCAGGGGGCGCAGGCGAGGGAAGAGCGAGGAAGCTGCTCTGGGTAGTGACTGAGCTGTCTTCGTCTTGCTGAGGAGCATGGGTTTGCTGTGACATTAGTGAAAGCTGCTTTTTGTGCTACCTGCGCCGGGGAGCTTGAAAAGCGATATCAGGCAGAATTTCTCAACGGGGTGAAGGTTTGTGAGGATCAGAACGAACAGCATGTTTTGTGTGGGTGTCCCTATAAAGCTTTGCAACTCTTTGTCTGGCTGAGAACGCAGCATAATGTGATAGACTGGTCTGCCAGCAGCATAATAAAGCCAATCAGCTCCCCTCTGCTATCTCTGCTGTCTCTGTGCAGCCTAGTCTAAACTCCTTTGCCTTCAAGGGCACATCTTAAAGGCCTCTACCTCTGGTGTGCCGGCACTAGGGCTGTAATGGACTGGGTAGTGGAGATGTAAAAACAGTCATAATGAGAGGTTCCTATAGACCAAGTGAAAAAAAAAACAACAGACAGATGGTGAAAGCCTTTCAGATGCTGCTTTGACTGGCTATCATTGCTTTCTAACCATGCAAATGGGCAACAGAGACCAGATTGTTTATCTACTCCAGGGCAACTCAAACTGCTATGGGAATGCAAAGCTACGAATATGATTTATTGTACAATGAACGATTGACATAATTGAGCTGGTCGGAGTTTCTTAATATTTGAATAGCTTTCGTAACACTGAGTTTCTTAATGTTTGCGTTGCTGTTTTCAGAGCAGCATGTGTGGAGCACATTATCCAGAACAATGAGTAAAACATACAGCTCATGCGGTATTGTTGCTATACCCAAGTGTACTGTTAATAAATTCCTTTAAGGCCAAGAAAAGGGGTAAAGATGTTTTGTAATATATGAACGGTTGAAAAGCTCTTCTTTGCTTGATTGTTTAGTAGCTAATTGAAACTCAAATTTAATCCAGCCATTTCTTAAAAGTACCCACAGCTTTCCTCTGAAAAATATCCACAGAAGTATTACAGAAGTGTTCGAAATCCTGAAAGGTGTTAACAAAAGTCAATTCAGAGGACTGCTTTAAGACCAATACTAGGACATGTGGAACTTATAAATAAATGCTTTTAGGAGTGCTAAAATCAGGAAGGGGCTAGGTGAGGTTCGTGACAACTGGCAGCCCACTGAAGCTCAGCAGCTGTGAGCCTGGTCAGGACCTGGATGGGAGACCTCCTGGAAAAAACTAAGGCCATTGCTGGAAGAGGTGTCAGTGGGGCCAGTAGGGGGCGCTCACCCTGGGGGTTTTGTGGGTCCTGATACCCCAGTATAGCGAAGGGGACACTATACTTTAAAAATAAATGGTGTTGTCCTTAGGGATGAGATGTAAAACCATCTCTGGGGTCATTACAAAACTCTTGGAATTTCTCAAAAATAGTAGGGATGTAACCCTACCCTAAATCCTGGACAAATTTCCCCCTAGCCTTTAACAAGCATGGCCTCCTAATAAGTGTTATGTGTGAT